TCTCTGTCCTCCTTAAAATACCCAACTCATTTTCACTCAAACACCATGTCTCGCTCCCATACAGCAATGCTGATCTCACACAACTCTTATAAACTATTCCTTTCATCTCCAAGGGAAATCTCTTCCCATATAGTAGCTCTCCACATTCCCTAAACTTCACCCAAGCAAACCTTGCTCTAGCTGTCACAGCCGCCTCACACCCACCACCCACACTTACCTTGTCCCCCAGGTATGTAAACTCCTTCACTGACTCAACCTCATCACACAACTTTTCTTCCTGTTCCACCACCCTTCCAACTCCATTCTTACATCTTCCACTTGCCAATATTTGGGTCACCCTCTTTATCTTTGCACATCTCCCATGTATCCACTTCCCACATTTCACACACCGCACTGAATTTGCCTTTACCCTCTTTCCACACATGCCACATGGGTCAACCTTACTGACCAATGCTTTCTCCTCCGTCCCACTCACCATCACTTTTGTCTTTCCCAGATTTACCTTCAAACCCTTACTCTCAAATGCTTTTTTCCATTTCACAAACTTCTCCTAAGTGTAAAGTGATTGCGTGCTACTCCATGTTCTATGTCACGTGTCAAGGTTATGGTTTATACTGAACTCTAACAATGTAACTTGGTTCTTTTCAAATCTTGCTGTTGTAAAAAACTCTTTTACAGTTCTGGTTAAATTGCTATTATATAGGTCACTACATAGCCCCAAATTGAATTTATGTGACTATGAATTTTTCAATAGTGATTGTATGGCATAATCACAATAACAAATTGTCTATGTGTACAGATGTTATTTAATACCTCAGCTTGGCAAAACATACTGGGAAAATGTTAGTAAATATGTACAGTGGAATACAAGTTTGGAAGTGCCTACTGTGAAGGGTCAAAATACACTACAAATAAACTAACAAGGATAATCAAAACCTGTGTCAACTAGACTTGAGCATTTAAGTGTTGAAAGCACAATGTTAGTGAAGTCCTTGCCTTATACAAATTGCATTGTAGTACCTCTATAGATTGTTTGAGTAGTGAATCTTGTATACAGTGGGCTCTGCATTAGGAACCACAATACATTATGTTCTTTAATATACATGTATTTGAACAAAATATTGCCTTTATTCTGACAATTACCAGTAATAAATAGTATGCCTTTAAATCAAAATTTGGAAAATTTAAACTTAGTTTAAAGTGCCTGTGAAATGGCTGCTATTTTCTTGCCTAAAATCATTTATTGGTACATCATTATTATTAATTTTTATGTTTCTAAGCAGAAAATATTTGTTTAAAGTGAAAAAATGCATTTCAACTCAGTCTACGGCAACTTTATTTTTGCTTATTTTAAAACGAGGCTCCTCATTTGCATACAGAAATTCCCCTTGTGACGTAAGAAGAGGAACATGCTGGGCAGCTTACATTGCCGATACGTGTCTATAATGCACATTTCTTGTGCAGTTTTCTCATCTTTGACTAAATTGCCACTTATGTACATGTTCGTCAAGGCGAACGGACCATAATTAACACATAGTATCACGTTTGTCGCATAGAGTTAGATGCGAAATATGTCCTTTCTGGCATAGCTGGTCACTGTGATCATCACCGGCACACATTTGTACACTGTCACTGGACTACAACAGGGTTTGTCTGGATTGCACAATTACTTATATGGTAGTCTGTCGAAGAGTCAACTTCTATTTCCACAGAACTCTCTACGCCTATGTCGATCATCGCGAAGTTTGTCAAAATCGAATATGACAATTGAATTGTCTCATTATTTAGCAAGTTACTAGGCATGACAATACACTGTTTCATTTCATCAATCGTCTGAGTAAAAAAAAAAAAAAAAAAAAACATTCAAAATTAAAATAAAAAGAAAACATATTTTGACATTCTAAACATTTAACTATAGTGATCACTGATATAGAGAAATAATTTAAAAAAAAAAAATCATAGTTACTAAATAAACGACATAAAATGAATTGACATTTTATTGAAATTGGTGAAAGTGTGTGAATGGCGGCGTTTGATTGGACATATTCAGACAAATTCAGAGCGGATTCCAGTTAGCGTGATCGTCATAATTATGACATCATATCAAAAATTTACTTGGTCAAAACACATTGACAGGCCAAGCCCAGATTTTTATTCCATAAATTATTATTCAGATCAAGCTGCAAGTAAAGGTAATAGAGGTGTGAATTTGAACAATTCAGAAACTTTTAGCCTGCGAAAATGAAAACAATGAGTAGTGTGTAAGTGCTGCGTAATTTCCTGTTTGTCCGATGCTTCGTTTTTGCGTCACTGTCAAAATTATAGCTACCTCTTACACGAACTGAATGGTCTCTATAAAGCGATATTCAAGATCACAAAAAAAGTCAAATCACTTACCCGACGTCTCTCTATCTTCTGAAATCTGTCTCGGTGAACATGGACTGGTCCGGAATCTTTTTTTTTTTAAAGTGTTGGCATTGCGCAAGGTTTAAGTTGTTGGCACTTCTCTTTAAAACCTAGTTGTTCTTTCATAAACGAAGACAGTTTTTTGAAAAAAGTATCAGAGGTAAAGTGGACACTACATATAACAGTGTAAAGAGAAGGTCCATCCCAACCTTTTCTTGTTGCTTTCTCGGCTTTCGTTCACTGATGTCACACCTTTGGATCGTTTGGAAACATGTGAATACTTAAACTATGGCTATACGTATTACTGCATTTACCCACAACACAACGTTTAACCATCATAAATGTTTGTTGTGAAAAAACTTCTAAAAGCTATCTCTCTCTCTCAAAAAAAAAAAAAACCCGGCCGAAAAATATATATCGTTTGAAAGTATGTTGAATGACACAGTGAGCCAAAGTATGGCTCAAGAGTATGGCTTCCTCTCATATTTTGGCTTTTGGTGGTGCACTTTAACTTCGGCGAGAGTCGGAAATCCAAAAACCATCAACTGTTTCAGGATAGGTGGGCGTGGCTACAGTACGAGAAATATCTCAAATTACTTGGATACAAGTAATTATTTTTCAACAAAAAAAATCAATAACTTTCCATTTCAGTGGGACACAGATCTAAAATGGGAAATGTGGGGTGGGCATTTCATAGGCAGTTTAATGTATGATGGGGTAGTATAAGACGGATGATCCACACTCGGTATCTGTATGCAGTGGTAATGATGCATGAATAAAAGATGTAAATCATTTATTTACCCAACAAAAACACTGAAATTCAGTTGGTTTCCAAACTGGTTTATAGAGGGGGTATGTGATTGGTTGATATTGAATATTATGCAGTTAAGAACAAGCATTGGCAGATTATTATCTGAAAAGAGTCTATTCAAATTACCGGGATATCAACTTTTCTGAACATTTCTGTTCCTTTCCTTGCATCTAACAAAGCAATATCTTGTGGTGTAGTCACAATCAGAGCACCAGATACTGGTATCAACTGGGAGATTGATAACTGTGTATCACCTGTACCAGGTGGCATATCAACTATTAAGTAATCTAACGGTCCCCAGGTAACCTGCAATAAATACACAATAGAATATTAGATCAGAAAATGAAGATGGAAATGATTTACAACTTACAGTAGTTACAAAATATGTGAGATTCAGAACATTATTTATTTATTTATTTATTTATTTATTTATTTATTTATTTATTCATTTATTTATTTATTTATTTATTTATTATTTATTTATTTATTTATTTATTTATTTATTTATTTATTTATTTATTTATTTATTTTCTGGCTCCAGTTCAAATACAAATACAATTTAAATAAATAAAATTTATAGCAATATGTAAACAATTAATAAAAACTTAAACAAGGTCAATGTACACCATATAACAAGACATATAACATATATATATTTGTACACAAATATTTACAAATGTCTGAAAGAAGTGTTTTGTAAAATTTGCTAAAAGTGGCAATAAATTCAATAAAATCAAAAGAACAGTGGTGGTTTAAAATTTGCATAAAGACAATGAATTACATATGAATTTACTCGTCTAAGAATAAATGTATAGGTCAATGAAGAATGGTCACATGACCAAGATTGGCATAAGATCAATTAGTATTTATAAAATCAGTTACAGGAGAACAACTACCTCAAGTATCTCAGTTATGTTGTTTTTAACTCATATTTAATTTTGAACCAATGCAGAGTTACTGCATACAACTATTACCTGTCTAATGAGTTTTTCAATAGCAGACATTACCATTAAACCTCTCCATACTATAGGTGACTTCTCATCTACCAGGAATCCCATAGACATACTGGATAAATATGAAAGAAAAATAAATCTTTTAATCCCACCAAGATTTGTGTACAGAGAATTTTTCAAAAAACACCCTATATAAAATTTATTTAATAAAAACAATAAAATTAATGATATTATTATGGAAAAGTAATTTCATAAAGTATTGTGGCTTATCAGAGAAAATAACACCTGTAGAAAAATGGTTCACGTGCAACACTGTAGCTCTTAAGTGTATTATCTTACCAAGAAATTCCAAAGTTAATCAATGGCTTCATCAGTTTTTCTGGATAAAAAAGTAAAACATAATAAAAGAAAGATGAAAAGATAATTATAATTTTATTTATTTATTAAATAGTATAGTATATTAATTATTCATATTTGCAAAAGAGTTATTCATTATGCATCCATTGTGTATATTTATAGATGATTTGGGGTGCCAGATAAAGCATCTTGTAAGTAAGATCTTCAGTAATATAAATTCCTCCTTGTAATAAAATGCCTGTCTGTGATTATCTTGAGTCTGACTTTTTATTCCAAAAGAGTCTGCATGTTTAGCTTTAATCCTATACAAAAAATTGTTGTTACTACAATTTCTAGAAAAAAATATTAAAAGAAAATATTGGATTGCCATGTGTATGCTCGTTTTCACAGAATAATCTGGTCCAGGTATTTAATATTTTGATAAAAAAGTTTATAAATACTGAATCATTTTTCTTTGATCAAAAACTATTTAAAATATAAGTAGAATATGAAATATTAACAATTGTGTTCCGATTTTTATTGTATGGAAACCAAAAGCAATGAAAGAAGTAATATATTTACGTTGAGTTATCTGAGGCTGCTGTCCAACTAAATTCATCATACGAGGAATCGATGGGCCGTAAATATCGGCATCTAATAATCCAATGGATTTTGACTGAAAATATAAATTGTCATTTAATATTTCATATGTCATTGCTTTCCATTCTTTGTCTTCATATGCAATCTATATGAGTTTTCAATCTCATTACAGCAATTCCAGGCACTGATTTGACGCTGAAGTAGTGCTAGATGTTGATAACTTACTACAATAGGTTACACACTTTGTTTTCAAATTTACAGAAGTTGTAACTAGAAATATAAACATCGGCTACAAATCAGAAGAATGATTGACAGACATTGCCTACAATGTTTACTATTTTTGTTACAAAGTCAGGTACACCTAGACTTTGAGGCGCGTACGTCTTTCATTCACTTTTGGTCGATCATTGTGTAGTTTGCGTCTACAAATCGGCATTCGTCCAAGTTGTTTAAGCACCACAATGGAGAAGCAAGAAGTCAAAAAACCAGTTGAAGTGAGAACAAGAGTTGTCGATTTGTATTTTTGTGGACTGTCATTTGCTGAGATTGGAGATTGAAATGGTGTTTCAAAGCAGACAGCTTATAATATCGTCAAACGGTTTGTTACCACCGAGAGTATCCTGCCAGGAAACTGACAAGGTTATAGACTATGTCGAAATTATAAAACATTGCGACAAAAACTACTTGTGTACGGCGGCAACCCTCCCCAACGTGTGATCGTGTGTTGCCAGTGATAAGCTTTTTAAAGCGATTATTTGGTGGCACATTTAGGTTCTCATCGTCGAGAACTAATAATCGAATAACACTCCTTCTATGTATTCAATTTCATTATTGATATAGTGGATGAAGTCTTCATAGGACATTTGTTGCAGGCGTGATACGTATATTTCCATAGTAGGAATAATGCACTTTGATCAATAATTCTGTCATGATCAGTCGGTCAGCTGGTTCTGTAAAATAACGTTCTTTACAGTGCCACCACTTTATGCGCCCCTCTCACTGAAATAACATGTGACGCAAATTGAAGTACGAAACTAAGTCGAGAGCCTTGATCGTTTATTGGAGGAGAAATTCAAAACTAATGTACTGCCACTTTTATGGGTGGAGCTTTCTTCCGGTGCGCTTCAAATTGCAGACATGCTGTCTGCAATATTTGTAACAACTTATGTAAATGTAAAAACAAAGTGTGTAAACTATTGTAGTAAGTTATCAACATCTAGCACTACTTCAGCGTCAAATCAGTGCCTGGAATTGCTGTAAAATCATGTATAGACAATATGGCAGTAAATCTAACTATGACCATATGCAAATGTGGCAGCTCCTCTGGAATTTCAACCAATGAATGAACACCTTAAAACCTATACATTATTCTATGCATAAAGTTTGCAATACAGATTCTCATTGCAGGTTATTAACATGATCGCAAGATTTCAGACAATGTTTTTATGCAAGATATGTACAATAATGTATAGTTACTTTGCAATTTCCATCAAAGTTGCTAAAAAAGAAATATACAGGAAATACTAGTAGTACCAAACATAAAATGAAAGGGATCAGTGATTCTTGTCTAAATGGTCTTAATCACATTGGTGCATTGATTAGCCTGTTTGAATCACATTATTCAAAGATTGGTCTGTTTGAATCACATTGTCCAATGATTTGCCTGTTTGAATCACATTGTCCAATGATTGGCCTGTTTGAATAGCAGTGTCCAATAATCAGCCTGTTTGAATCAAATTGGTCCAATGATTGGCCTGTTTGAATCACATTGTCCAATGATATGCCTGTTTGAATCACATTGTCCAATGATTGGCCTGTTTGAATAGCAGTGTCCAATAATCAGCCTGTTTGAATCAAATTTGTCCAATGATTGGCCTGTGTGAATCACATTGTCCAATGATTGGCCTGTTTGAATCAAATTGGTCCAATGATTGGCCCGTGTGAATCACATTGTCTGATGATTGGCCTGTTTGAATCAAATTGGTCCAATGATTGGCCTGTTTGAATCACATTGTCCAATGATTGGCCTGTTTGAATCAATATGGTCCAATGATTGGCCTGTTTGAATCACATTGTCCAATGATTGGCCTGTTTGAATCAAATTGGTCCAATGATTGGCCTGTGTGAATCACATTGTCCGATGATTGGCCTGTTTGAATCACATTGTCCAATGATTGGCCTGTTTGAATAGCAGTGGCAATGAACACACATTTTTTAGCAGGCAGGCAGAAATGAAAAACACTTCTTCCCTCTTCTTGACCTTTTGGTAAAATAATCTTATTTCAGTGCTGTATGTTAATTGTGCTTGATGGTCGAATCTTTTGATTCTATCATATTTGTTTCGAAGATTATAATAATAAACACTCTATGATTACCTATACTAGTGAACAACAGACTTACTTACTGGTTCATTGGCAGCTATCCCAAGGGCCAGATTAACTGTAAATAACATAACACTATTAGTAAAGAGAATCAGGTTCAACAACAAACACAAGCAATGGATTAATTGGTGTAGAATAGGGTACGCAATAGTATCACCATATGCTATGTTCACACTGCAGCATTCTAACGAACCAAACTACTGCTCCTTCCACCGATTAACAGGAGATTATCTCCAATGCGTATACATGGTCGGAGGCCAAACAAGAGCCGAGATCTGCCAGAGTTGAATTCAGTTTGATCAGAGCGAACGGAACAGTGCCCTCAAATAATTACTATAAAAAAAACATGGCTGAAAACAATTTTGGTGTTTTTTCTTTACATGCTATGATGCTGTTGAGCTGGGTGAAAAAATAGAAACAGCCACGAGTCGTAGCATGGATGTAGAAAAGACAATGCACTGGTGTTATGATTTAGATACTAGTATCTCAAATAAACAGGAAATACGGCAGCTAAAATGTATTGCAGCTTAAGTTATTGTCATCCAAAATTATCATTTTGTAATTGTTCAACTGTTGTGATATGTGTAACAGTTATCAATCTAAACCTACTTGGAACATGTACCGTGACTGCTTCTATGATTTTTATCTTCAGTGTCTTTAAAAAGTTTCTTCAATTTCTATTGGATTTGTTCGTTCTTTCAAGTTATTGTCGCATAATTTTGTACACCATTTTTCTGTTTTCCGTTGAGCTATCCTTTAGAGAGTCTATTTCTTTACTCTGCCAAATAGATATTAGGGCACACACCTCATCATCAAGCTGGAAATTGCATGAAATTACTAAAGATGTTGTCTCTGCTATAATTGAAATGAGAGGTTACTTGAAGAAGACAATCGAGGGCATGATTTGAACTCTGATAGTTGGGTCCTAATGGGTATACATGTCGGCCATGTCAGGGCTCAACCCTATCAGAGTTCAATCCTGAGAATTTATTAGAGCCGAACTTGAGTCGTACGTAGGACTCCAATCATAGGACTCCGATAAAATGCTGTCGTGTGAACGTAGCAATAGAAACACCATTTTTTGAAATAAATGAAATATTAAGATTGTATAGTTGTGTGAGAAAAGTGAGTGTTAGGTTAGGCTTCTGTATAGAATAAAGGTTTTGGTATAAGGTTTTTGATGTGACACAGTCATTCTTTAGTGTACATTCAAACTCTGTATTAGACACAAGTTGTACATGTCGTACAAGATCCATACTTCAACACAAAGTGAAGTGAAGTGACAACTGTGGCATTTTTAATCTTAACATGATTAGAGTTTGAGACATTTATTATTTACCAGTGGATTTTTATTTTGGTATTTATTGGCCTTTATTGGGGTTCTCACCCTTAAAAAAAACACAATTTAAATCAAAGAAAGCTTAGAAAGAACTCCTGTGTGCTGAGAGTATTGAAGACACATTAAAAATTAATTCAAAATTACTTGTACATGAGATATTGATGGAAAAGCTGAAAACTAATTATGTAAATCAGGTAACTAATATGAACAGAACAGAACAAAAAAATTCTGAATTATTATGCTAATTAGAGAATTAATATTAATCAAAATTAATCAGGCCTGTCTATTGTCCTAGAGCATTTATGTACCAAATTTTATTCAAATGTGATGATCAGTAATTGAGATATCAGTGTTAATTAATTATGTTAATTAGGTGATTAATAAGCATAAATATTTACCAAAAACTAA